AATATTATTAATATAATAGTATTATAAAGTATATAAATTTTTATATTTATTTATTTTAAAAATATATGTTTTTTTGTATTTTAATTTAAAATTTTTTAAAAAATTATAATAAAAATTGTATTATTTAAAGTTTTAAAAATTTGATTTGATAAAATAAATTTTATAAAATTATTTTTATAAAAAATAGTATAATTTTTAAAAATGTATATATAATGTATAAATATAATTAAAAAAAGGGATATATATATATATATAATATTAAAAAAAATTAAAAATTGGGAAAAATTTTTTATATTATAAAAGTAAAATATTTTTTATAATAATATTTTATAAAAAAATATTAAAAATATATAATTTATATAATTTATAAAAAATTTTTTATTTAATTATTTTTAAATTTTTAAAATTATATAAAATATTATAAATATTAATATAATGATTTTTATATTTTAAAATGATTTTATATTTAAAAAATCAAAAGATAAAAAAAATATATTATTTATTTATTATAAATTTTAAAAATTTTGTTATATTTTTTTTTATTTAAAAATATTTAAAATTTTATTTTTATTTTTTGAATTTTTTTAAAAAATTTTGTTTTTTTTTTAATTAAAATATTAAAAAAAAAATAATTTTTATAATAAAAAAAATAATATAATAAAAAAAAAAATAATTTTAAAATATTTAAATTTTAATATTTTTTTGTTATAATTTTATTAGTATTTTTTTAAGTTGTTTGAAATTTTTTGTAGGTAAGGTTTTTGTTTTTGGTTTTTAAAAAATTTGTTGTTGTTTAAAAAAAAATTTTTTGGGGGAAAATTTTGGGGGGAGTTTTTTTAAAATTTATATTTAAAAGATTTTTAAAAAGTTTAAAAATTTTTTTTAAAGGGTTTTTTTTTTTTTTTTTTTAAAAAGGGGTTTTTTTAAAATTTTTTAAAATAAAAGGGGGTTTTTAGGGTTTTTTGGGGGTTTTTTTTTTTTTTTTTTTTTTTTTTTTTTTTTTTTTTTGGTTTTTAATTTTAATTTATTTAAAAATAAAATTTAAAAAAAATAATAAATAATAATTTAAAAATTTATTTTTGGGTCATTTTAATCCCCTCAAAATTTTACTTTTTCTATTATCACACCACTTATATTCACATATATACATCTCTATTTCATATCACATTAAAAATCCAATAAAAATTATCAACCACCTTTAAAAATTTTAAAATTAAACACTAATAAATTCATTTTATTTCCTTAAAAAGAAAATTTCAGATACATCTGACCCTCAAAAAAAAAATAAAGTCAAAATAAAACAACATTTAACAAAAAGTTTTCCAACTTTAAATAAAAAAAGGGAAATTTTAGAAATATATAAAAAAAAAATTATTTAAAAAATAATAATTTAGAAAATAATTTAGAATAAAAATTTATTTATTAATTAAAAATATTAAAATTTTAAAAAATTTTTATAAAATTTTTTTATTATTTTTTTCATATTTTTATGAAAAATTTTTTGTTTTTCCCCAAAAACCAACTATCACCACACACACACACACACAAACTTTCCTCCCAAAACATGATAAACACACATTAAAACTTTTCCAAAAAAATCCAACCCCCCATAAAAATTATTTGTTAAAAAGAAAAAATTACTGTCTACCTCGTATCCATTGATTTTTTAAAAACTACGAAATGCAACGAGTGAATCAAAAAAAGTTTAACAAATCTTCAAAATCACAAATTTAATAGAATTTTTTTTTAGGATAAATTAAAGGTTAAAGATGAAAAAAATTTCTTAAATTTTAAAATTTTTTTGCTTTTCCCTTTCCTTCCCCCAATTCCCTAAAGGGCGTTTTTTTAAAAAGGAAAAGCAAAAAAAATTACATCTTCATTAAAATGTTTTCGTCTTTTTAAAAAATTTGAATTCAATGTCTTTTTTGATATCTTTAATATGAAAACAGAAGTGCCAGCCAAAAATGGGGAAGGTTTGGCCGGTTTTTGATTTTTTTCCTTTAGTTTTTTTCCCACAAAAATTTCCGCTTTTTTAATTTTAAACCCCCAATTTTACTGGGACCCTGAAAATCGCTTTTCAGACGTTTTTCCCAACCTAAGTTTGGCCTCAGTGGCTACTTCACCGTGACCAAGAATGAGTGTGTTCCTATAGTCATGACTTTGACTGGAACCGTTGCCGGAGGTAAGGGTAACTTTACCAATGTTATAAAATGACAGTTTTGATAGTGTTTATTCGCAAAACATCGAAAAGGGAAAACAAAGGGCGTATAGTGGTAATGGCGATTGACCTTAAGACATCGAAAAGGGATAATAAAGTGCATATAGTGGTAATGGTGATTGACCCCAAGACATTAACATGGAACAATAAAGTGCACATAGTGGTAATCGTTATTGAACTCGACACGTCGAAAATGGACAATAAAGTGCATTTAGTGGTAATGGTAATTTAACACGAAACATCGAAATGGGACAATAATGTGCCTATAGTGGTAGTGGTAATTGAACCAAAAAAATCGAAAAAGGAAATGAAAAGTGCATATAGTGGTAATGGTGATTGACGCCATGACATCGAAAAGGGACAATAAAGTGCATATAGTGGTAATTGTAATTAAACCCAAAACATCGAAAAGGGACAATAAAGTGAATTTAGTGGTAATTGTAATTACACCAAAGACATCGAAAAGGGACAATAAAGTGCATATAGTGGTAATTGTAATTAAACCCAAAACATCGAAAAGGGACAATAAAGTGCATATAGTGGTAATTGTAATTAAATCCAAGACATCGAAAAAGGACAATAAAGTGCATATACTGGTAATTGTAATTAAATCCTAAACATAGAAAAGGGACAATAAAGTGCATATAGTGGTAATCGTAACTAAATCCAAAACATCGAAAAGGGACAATGAAGTGCATATAGTGGTAATTGTAATTAAATCCAAAACATCGAAAAGGGACAATAAAGTGCATATAGTGGTAATTGTAATTAAATCCAAAACATCGAAAAAAGGGACATTAAAGTGCATATACTGGTAATTGTAATTAAATCCTAAACATAGAAAAGGGACAATAAAGTGCATATAGTGGTAATCGTAACTAAATCCAAAACATCGAAAAGGGACAATGAAGTGCATATAGTGGTAATTGTAATTAAATACAAAACATCGAAAAGGGACAATAAAGTGTATATAGTGGCAATTGTAATTAAATCCAAGACATCGAAAAAGGACAATAAAGTAAATTTAGTGGTAATGGTAATTAAACCCCAAGACATCAAAAAGGGACAAAAAAGTGCATATAGTGGTAATGGTAATTGAACCAGAGACATCGAAAAGGGAGAATAAAGTGAATTTAGTGGTAATTGTAATTAAATCCAAAACATCGAAAAGGGACAATAAAGTGAATTTAGTGGTAGTGGTAATTAAACCTCAAAACATCAAAAAGGGACAATAAAGTGCATATAGTGGTAATGGTAATTGAACCAGAGACATCGAAAAGGGACAATAAAGTGAATTTAGTGGTAATTGTAATTAAACCCAAAACAAAGAAAAGGGACAATAAAGTGAATTTAGTGGTAATTGTAATTAAACCAAAACCAAAGACATCGAGGAAGCAAGATGAACATTTGGCTCCTGAAGATTCATTGCAAGGTCATATTTTGTACTTAAATCATACCCTTATTAGTGTCTAGAAATATATTGAGAAAATATTACTTTTCTTTTCCTAATAAAATCGTGGATTTTTGTCGTAAAGAATTAAGCTATATGTTTGGGTATCTGCCGTTTTCGAATTAATGTTAAAACCAAAGAACAGATAATAGATTTTCTCTTTTACATTTTGAACTCCAGTTTTGTTACCAACATCTTCCTATTTTATTTCAGCATATTATATCATACCTTCTCAATACACAAGTATGTTTTTAGAAATTGTTTTAGTGTTCTTGTTTTTAAACTTTCCAAGTACTCTTGTTTGCTGAAAGTAAATATCAGCAAGTAAATAAAATGGTGTCAAAACCTGCTTATACAGAGAGGAAGGGATGTTTGTGATATCCCCTTATTTAAAAACACCCTGCTTGCTGTTTGAAATACACGTTCATTCAAAATTAAAGAATACTTATTAAAGGTACAAAAAGGACATCATAGGACTGTAGTGTTAACACTTCCAGTAAATTTATGTAGCAAACCCACAACCCAACCCCAAGAACAAAGATACCCAATAAGTAAAACATATCAATCTGTATGCGGTACAAACAACTGTATAAATGGTTAGCTTGCAATAGCTGAAACTCTCGTACTTTAAATTTCAGTGTACAATTTCTGGGTTTTCGGAATATTAAATTTCACCATAGGAATACAAGATTCCTCTATTTTCAATGTACCAGGCACCTGCATGGAAACGGTAAGAACACTTATTCATACGTTATGTTGTTTCATATAAAGAAATTTAAACAGTATATTTATCAAAGACAACATGTGGTAATTATTTATATCTCGATAATATACTAGCATAAAAGATATCAAATGAATGACGTCTTTAGGAACTTTATAAATGTTTAGTTTATAGTTGTGTGTGTATGTGTATCTATATGTGTGCATGTATGCATGTAGGGTTTAACGCCATTTTTCAGCACAAGATAGGCGGCCAGTACAAATGACGGAGGAAGAACCCAGGAAAATTCCTGGAAAAAGCCACTGACTCACGATAAGCTAAAGACAGGCTTTCTCACGTACCCACATTAGCCGAACCAGAGAATGTAATATGTGATGTGCTTATGATTTTTAACGTAGCTTTAACAATTTTTCAGTCGTATCGCAACGATGTATGCACTGTGGCAGTTTATAGTGATGTCTAGTACTGGGGTATCATGCCGCCGACATGTAGCATGATGTCCCAACCAGTCACATTATCCTGAAACCAGGACGACCAGTGTTAAATCTAACCTCTTAATGCTGAGAGCCAAGCGAGGAAGCTGTTAATACCATTTGTGTAATTCTTTGGTATGACTCGACCGGGGATCGAACCCACGACCTCCCGTATCTGAGGCGTTTGCTTTAACTACTAGGCCACCGGAGCGGTTCACCAGAAGGTAACCCACGCGTATAGAGGTGAGATAGCAGTGATTCTTAACGGTGAGCGTTTTAGACCATTCTGCCATTCGGTGGGGAGGTATGTAGGTAGCTAGCTAGCTATAGAGGTAACCAAGTAGGTAGGGAAGTTTAAGTAGGTGGGTAGGTCAGAAGTTCTTGTAAGATGAACTATCTGTACGATTAATCGAAGAATCATAAATTCAAACTTGGAGATTTGTAAGCAACTGTTTTTACTTTAATTTCACTGCCACGTTAGTTTTGATGAATGGATGTATATATATATATATATATATATATATATATATATATATATATATATATATATATATATATATATATATATATATATATATATATATATATATATATATATATATCGGACATTTAGACCAAATTTGTATTAAGTTTTCTTTGGAAAGTAGATTGTGAAAAGTGTCTATTCTACATTCAACGCATTTATTTCAGACAACTTCAGACCACGGTGAAAATTTGGGGAGAGTTCGCCGATCCTTCTTCGAAGTTTATTGAAGCACTTCAAAACTCAACCCATCTTGGATAAGTTAAACGTTTAAAGCAATTATTTTTGAAATCTTAAAACAATAAAAATCAATAAAAAAATTACGTTACTTGGTTTTTGTTTATTCTGTGATTTTTTTTATAGTTTTCATTTGAGTTTAAAATGTTAGAAAATCAATTACAACCATTAGAGAACAGCATATTTGTAAGTCAGATTGTTTCAATAATGAGATACATGCACGCATTCCAGAGAATATAATACATATTGCTATCTCCAAGTGAATGCCAATTTTATAATGAGAAGATTGGGTATGGTAGAAAGCAGTAGCCCTGCGACAGGCATTGTTTGCATCTCTCTCTCTCTCTCTCTCTCTCTCTCTCTCTCTCTCTCTCTCTCTCTCTCTCTCTCTCTCTCTCTCTCTCTTATTTCTTATACTATTTGAAATCTCTCCTGTGGTGGTCGATCACGAAGACACCACAATGAGTTCAAAGACGTTGCTTGTCTAGAAATCAATGCGATTATTGAATCCTGAAACAAAGTATGAATGTATATATTTTACATTGATATTGACATTGAAAATATTTTCTATGCATTTTATTATTCAAACGTAATGTACATTGTTACGTGACAAGGGCTCGAACTCAATAACAAAAAGTGAAAGCCAACAAGCTTTATAAATGTTAACAAGACATCTCCCTTTACAACAATGCACAAATTGGTAAGTAGGACTTAAGAGTTGGTGAACATAATCCAAATATGATTCTATGAATAAAAACGCAATTCCTATCACTAAATGGTCCTATAAAAATCCAGGTCCAGAAGACGTACAAATATGTAGGACGATGACGTTAGATGTAGTCCAATGAATGAATAACAATAATTCCTCACTTGAATCAGTTTTCGAATAATTCCAAAATTAATTGCCATGAATATCTTTAAGATTTTTTTAAAATAAGTTAACTTGTTGAGTGTCTAGTAGAATAAATTGAATCCAAAAATCAGACCAAGATTAAAATATTCTGGAAACCAGTTTATAAAGTTACATAAACCTTGTTTTGAAAGACTCTCCAAAACAAATATTAAGAATGCGTATTTAACCTCGAAAAATTACTTCAAATCTCGCGAGATTGGTCATGTGTTCTCTTAGTACTCTAAAATTCACACGAAGGCTAGTGTCACTCACTAAAAATACAATCATAAAAATATCATTGAATAAAAAAAAATCATTGAATAATATGTCGCCTACGATATAAAGACAACATTCAACAAATTAGAGCTAAACTTGGTGAGGTGTTATTTCTCTTATTGTTCCTTTGCGTTCAGCAGACATTCAAACCCCTCCCAAGCATCGAGACACATCATTCCTATCCCATTGCCATGGCAACCAAAACAAGAGTAGACAGGATATGCAGCACTGTTGCTGAAGATCTGGATCTTCAAAGATAAATGTTTATGAATATTTTAAAGTTGACAAGACATCACGAAATTCATGAACTGTACTGTACTAGATACAAGGTATTTAGTGATTTGAACAATAGCCACATAAGCAGGAAGGACGTTAACACCATTTTAGATAATTTGCAGAAATAGTATTTATTTGACCAATAATATTGCTGTCCTTTTATAAGTATTGTGAGTTTATCAATATAGGAAATACAAATTGGTATGGATAAATATATGAAAAACTGATTGGAAACAATGAAACACTAAGTTAAAAGAACAAATGGAATTTAGACTGATAAACATTTTCTCGATACCATTAAAAAAAAATTAAAAACTTAAAATTTTAAAAGTTGCAGCTTGCCTACCAATGCATTTCTCTAAATACACTGAATTATCTTAAACTGTTATGTTACGTGCAGAGACATTCTCATAATATAGCTTGGGAGGAAATTGTCACACCACTAATATTTTAAATGATATATTGCAATGTTGTTGCTGTTGTTATAGGGTTTAAAGCCATTTTCAGCACAAGATAGGCTATACATGGCGCCAGTATTAATGGTGGAGGAAAAACCCTGGAAAACCCAAACAACCACCGACCCACGAGAATCTCACCGACTTTAGACGAGCCTGGACTCAAACTCACGCACGCAGAGGTGAGATGGCAGTGATCCGTAACGGTCAGCGCTTTAGACCACTCAGGGCCCCTATATATTACAATGTATAAAAGCAATAGAAAACTAACATTATTAGAAATGTAGATTTAATAGAGACAGGTTAGTTTTGTCTCAGTTCAAAAAGGAATTTTGTGTTTAATTGCAATGCAACAAATCTCGCACTAATAGACACACTGAATTATAAAAATTTCCTTTTAGCCAGATTTTTATACCACAAGCAGCTAATATAGCAAAAATATATTATATATAAAGAATACAAATCATATGGCGAATAACAACCATTTCAAGCGTACTGGATCCACCAAGGGATCACGTGTGTCAGGGATGGATTAAAATAGATGCAATAAACTGAAGACGAACAGTACGAAACTAGTAACTAACTAGCCTGAGCGCTTTGGACTCTTAATGAGTCTTTTTCAAAGGCAAATACAAAATATATATACGACAAACAAATAAACACAAAAACGTTGTGTTTGTAAACCTCTACATGGTTGTCTCCACATGAGTAAAAACTATAAATACAACAAACTTGTATAGACTAGTTGCGGATACTGAAAACGGTGTATAATTCCCTAAAAGTCTACAAGCCAAAGCGACATCTATTTTTACTTTTTGTACATTTATGTAACGCAGATTATATCCAGGATATTTGATTATATACCGGTTATTCTTACAGTAAAATTTGAAGGATACTAAGAAGATTTAGAAAATGTTAAATTCTACTAGTGCATAGTTTTCATTTTCTAGTCTTCTTGGTTGCAATTTTGTAAGGCGGCGTATCCAGTATGATTCCTTTTCCTTCTTGGTTTCGGAACTCCAGCTGTGGTTGTTAGCAATAGCGATAAGTATTATATCACTGAAAGTGTGGCCAGGGGAGGAGAAGTGTTCTGCGACCGGGCTTCTGTACAGCTTTTTTTGTCATCCAAACAGATCTATGAAGGTTTATTCTTTTGTGTAGCTTTTCAGTTTCTCTGACGTACTGAAGACCACAGATTTTACATGTGATGAGATAAATCACATTCTCTGTTTTGCACATTTTATTTGGACCATGTATATTTAGTTTTTCTTTAATCACTTTGCTAGTGAATGCCTTGGTCTCTATAATATGTTGACAGGTATTGCCTCTTTTATCGCCACAGGGTCCAGATTGACTAGGTTGGTTTTGACTAGCGATTGGCGTTAGCTTTGCCCTGACTAGGATGTCCTTTAGGTTTTTTGGTCTCCGGTAAGCTACTACAGTTTAGTTCGGAAGTATTAGGTTTAGTACGCCTGACGATTGCACGGTGGGCCAGTGGTTTGCGATGCTTTTACCTACTTTGGGATTGTCTGGGTGATAGGTCAGAAAAAAATGGTATCCTATCAACCTTTTCTTTCTGTCCATATCTGAGTAGGTCATCACGGTATGTTTGTTTGGCCCTTTGTTTAGCCAGCTCTTCAGACCTTTTTAGGAATCTTTCATCGTCGGGGCAAATTCTGCGTATCCTCAGTGCCTCGCTATATGGAATGTTCCTAATGCAGTGTTTTGGATGACAACTGGTTGGGAGGAGATACTGGTGTTTGTCGGTTGATTTCGAGTAGATGTCTGTGTGATTTGTTTTCCACCAGTCTGGTTGTTGTGTCCAGGAAAACATGGTTTGAATTGGAAATTTCTGCCGTGAATTTTATTGAATGATGGAAATTGTTTGCCTTTGATATGAAGTCATCCAGACTTTCTCTTCCATACTGCCACTTCATTTCTATATCATCGATAAAGCGTACCCACTGGTATGGTGTACGCTCAACCGATGCTAAGAGCTGACCCTCAAGTTTTCCCATAAAAATGTTAGCATACGAAGAGGCAATTTTAGAACCCATTGCAGTTCCATTGATTTGTAGGTAGTTTTCTTCATTAAATTCAAAGTTGTTGAATTTAATGAAGAAAACTAAGAAGTGTGTGGGTGAATTGTTTAAAGTTCTTGTTTGCCATGTTTCGCTACATGCCTTTAACCCTTCGTTGTGCGGTATGTTGGTGTACAAAGATGTGACGTCTAAGGAAGCAAGTAATGTATCTGATAGTAATGGTTCGCTAGCTTTGCTTTTTATGAGATAATCTGTCGTGTCTTGAAGATATGATGGTAATTTGTGGACATGTGGTTTCATAAAATGATCTAAATATTCTGATATCCTTTCTGTGGGGTGCCCGTTACCTGAGATTATAGGTCTGCTAGGGTTTCATTGTTTGTGGATTTTGAGTAGAAGATAAAATCTACCTGCTCTTGGGTTTTCTGGGTTTAAGTAGTTTCTCGTTTGCTAGTCGATGTGTCCGATTTGGTACGCCTCGTCAATAACATTAGTGATGATTTTTGCATA